TAATGAATTAATTAATAGTATTATTAGACTTGCAAAGTCTCCCAGATTAAAATCTATTTTTTCTGTTATCAGTATGGAGTATTTTTTCCATCTTTCATTTTCAGTCTGTTTATGTCCTTTTTGTCTGTTTCTCATAGACAGCAAAAGGCTAAATCATGTTTCTGATGGGTTTTAATCCATTCTGCTACTTTGCCTTTTACATGAGATGTTCAGAACATGTATATTTAAGGTTATTTCTGACTCAGGGAGCTCTGGTGGCCTACTGGTATGAAATTGCACTGCTATCCCAAAGGCACATGGTTCAGGACCATCCACTGCTCTGCAGGAGAAGGATGGACAGTCTCCTCCATTGCCATTTACTGTCTCTGAAAACTTGCCAGAGAAAAGCAAACACTATCTTGTTTCCATTATTTTTTGTTAGCTTTGCTTTGTTCTTTTTCTCTTATTCCTCTTGAATCTTAGTAAGACTGGCTATTTTCCCTTGTAGTTCATTTTTCCTGTCTTCCATCTGTTCAGCTCTGCTGTCAAGTGTTTCTCTTGGTTTTTCTAATGCAGTAAGTTTATTCCTCAGTTGTAATAGTTCTTTTTCTATTTTTCTTTTCTTTTTCAATTTTGATACTGAATTTCTTTCTTGTCCATATATCTTTTTCCCTTGATATTTCCCAGTTTTCTACATACTTAATGCTTTTTTAAAAAACTTATTTAGTACCACAGTCTGAAAATTATCAACCATGTTATTTTGGCCTCCACAGGAGAATTTCCCTCCCCTTGATGTTTTGCTTTGGATTGGTCTTTCTTTCATTGTGTTTTTGAGTGTTTCACTTTTTGTTGAACATGAGTCATTGTGTTGTCTTTGTATTTTGTTTATCTTAAATTTTGTATTCTCCTTCTCCAACAGAGAAGGTTTTGAACTGCTCACCTCTGGGACTGCAGTGCAGCTAAAATAAGCAATTTTTTTAAAAAAGAAAACATCACTTGGGATAGACTATAGACCTGGGGAGAGGATGAAAGGCACCCAAGCGTCGAGGTCGAGGACTCTCCTTCATAGGGTCACTATGAGAGTCGCCTGCAACTCAACAACAATAACATCAACAGAGAGAGGGAGATCAGCTATCCCAGTGGATAGAAAGTGATGCTTCCAAGCCAAAGAGTCTCCCACCTACCTCCTGAGTAAGAAGAGAAAATTAGTTTGCTGTTGCTATTTCTCAGTAGTGAAAAAACTGAAATAAAGAGGTGATATTCTTCAACACACACACACACACACACACACACACACACACACACAAAATTTTGTATTCTTGGTTTTGTGAGAATTTTCCTCTAAATGACCACCTGGTGGGACAGGGACCATGTGTCTAGCTGCCAGCTGAAAGAATAGGGCTTATACCAACAAACCATTTTGTGGGACAAAGATGTGGCAGTCACCTTCACAAAGACACATGGGCCTGGAAGCCCCATGAGACCATTCCACTCATTCTCACAATATAGCCGTGAGTCAGAATTGACCCCATGGTTGCAGGTTTGCTATCATCTCTTGGAAATCAGAGAACATCTCTCTCATTATGATTTATTTCAATTCCAATTAAGAAGTTCTGGATGCTTGATCTCAGGAATCCCAAAAGCATGTGTAGGAGCATGCGATTTAGTGCTCACAGTCACTGATTAATTGTTGAGGCTCCACTGTCCCATGTGAGAGTGGAGTCCTCTACATCTCTCCCTCGTGAGTGTTCCTGCAGAGATTTACCCATAGTTTTGAAGGAGGGAGGATGTTCCTTCTGTATTGTATATCATTCCTGTTTGAATATGCTCCTTTTCCTACTGCCATTGTTATTCCTCCTGGTCTATCTCTGGTCTTTACAAGATTCAGCAGTAAACCCATGCAACATTATGGTCTCTTTCACTCCCTTCTAATTGTGTGACTTTCAAACTCCCATGAGTTCAGATTACAGCCTCCATAGATTCATTCCTCTTCTGTGTTCCCTGTTTGTTGTGTTACCCTGATCCTTCTCCTAAATTGGCTGAGAAGAGCAGCACTCCTGATTGTTAGATAGAAAAAAGAGCTCAAGGGAGAGAAGAAAGAAAGAAACTGGTCCCAAGAAACAAAAGATCTTTATTGCGGGGTTGAGAGGGATGCCAAGTACACGGAGAGGATTGAAATGGCTTGGGCAGTTTGGGGGGAGGGGTCCTTCTTATAGGGGTCCTGGGGAGGACTAAGATGATATTTCTTGAATTTGGTGTGTTTATTAAGTTAGGTTTGGGCTATTTTGATCAGGCTCAGACCCTTATCAGGAGCCATTGTCTGGTCTCTGATATGACCAGCTTAGATGTTATCAGGTTTCTCAGGAAGTGATCAAGCCTGGGGGTAGGATGGGGGGGGGTTTGCTGGGGCAACTGCCATATTCTTCCTCCACTGCTATTAACAGGTAGGCTCTCCCAGCTTCTGTACCATTCTCTCTGCTGCTTTCTCCATAAAATCACCTTCTCCAGCACCTTAGCTGTCATCCAGAGTTTTGAAAACTCATTCTGTGCTGGCTTTTATTCATTGTTCAGTGGGTGAGTTGCTATGGGATTAATTGAGAGCCTCTACTCAAACAGATATGTCTTGGAACAAATGTAGACAAAATGCTCCTTGGAGGCAGGGAT